GGGTGGTCAACCGTGACGAGGCTCCAGCAGAGGAGCCCAGTGACGTCAGAGGCTATAAATAGATCGGGCTGACAGGAAATAGGAGAACTGGGAGACTTGTGACGTGCCCAATGTCGATCGCCCAACCCCCACTCTCTTTACAGGCCAGGGTGCAGATGGATTTGTTCCTCCCTATATTCATGGAGGACAGCATTCTTACATTTCAGACGTTAACTTGAGGTAATACGAAAAAAGGTATATTTGTATGGATCTATTTCATCTAGTGAAAAGATATGACTGCTGTCAAGTTTTTGCTGCCATTTGTTTTGAGAACCATTTCACAAAAATCAGCTTTCTTCAATTTTTTCAGAACCTTAAATTAGAAATAAACACATGTAAGAAATAAATGTGAATAATGAAAGACCAGCTAGTTCAAAACAGACAAAGAATATCTTAGTATGGAGAAAGATGGTCATCGATAGTACGAGCTAAGTTAAGGTAACAGTTAAATATGTTATCTTAAAAGTTGGAAAGAGGAGCCGACATTTAAATCATTGTTTGACATTATATCAATCCACTGATATACAGCCCTATGGCAAAGTCTTATGAAAAATAAAATTCAATGAACACTTTATCACAGCAGCAGTTTGAGACGGGCTGGATTATAATTGCTACTTCCTAATGAAGACCACCAAGTCATTGAAACTGCTCGGCAAGTCACAGAGCACAAATGCAGTAATGTCACTAATGATGGTCACACACTCCGTTGGGGCCTTTCAGGCAGCGCACTTAACCACATCTTGCAGTTATCCATTACATCCCCAATCCTAGGGGCAACAGGCCATCCCTCTGAAAGGGGGACAGCTCCCACTACTGAGAAATACAAGTTATTGCAATACCTCTAAACCAACCTGTTCAATGATTACAGCTTCAACTTTTCATACTGACGTATCTTTACTGTTCCTTCATATATCCAAGCTTTTACCTCTCAATGGCCTTTTATAATCGTTCACCATGGAGTTATTTTGTTATTTCCATTCAGTTATTGTTCCAGATTTAGTTGGCTTGTAAATATGTAGGAACTATCCATCCGTTAACATCCTATCCATCCATAACATGTATGTTTTTGGATTTTAAGGGGGGAAGCTGGACAAGCCAGAGTGAAGCTAGTGAGATCTAGCATAGGCATAAGCATGACACTTTTTGGGCAAAAACATTTTTGAGGTTTGAATGTACGCCCCAAAAGGTGTTCATTAGACGGATGGCTTCTGATCACATGGCAAAGATATGTCAAATAAATAATAAATGACCACCTTGTTGTTGAGATTGCAAAGTACACTTTAGGTGCAGACACAAAAGATCATGTTCACTAAGGCAATAAAAGCGTTAGTCTAAGCCGTATTCAGCCTTACCATGAAGAAGAGTAAGAACAAACTGGGAGAACGTGAAAGTCTGCATTTCTCGGATTGTTTAAACAAGCCACACTTTAAACAGAATGACAGGAGGATAAGCCGGCGTCCTTTTGAGTTAAAACATACATAACAAATTGACCTTGGTGTGTCTCCTGCCTCCCGCATTGTTCTCTGTTCTCTGACGTACATCACCGCTCCCTTTTCTCTCTTTAACTCTGTTTTACTAAACTTTCCTCTCACGCAAACATCACTTGCCACCCACATCCTAGCTGTTGCTTTTGTTCCCAGGATGTTTAGTTTATGCCAAGAGGAGGGATCGCTTCCAAAAAGACAACAAAAAAAACAATAATAATCATAAGAACTTTCAACTCTTTGATTTGGTCATCATTTCAGTTTTTAACAACTGCTTGAAAAATTAACCTTAACGCATTCTGATTTAACAATGTTTTGTAAAATCATGCTTTTCAGTTGTGAAAAGCACTTTCTACATTTCTTCACCATCTGTAACCTAAATATCTTTGCGATCTGATTGGTTGAACTTGCTAATAACAACTTTTAGAATTTGACTTTAGAGAGATTCATTTTTTTTATTACATCCCAAAATTTACAGACACAGCCAGAAAACGTAAAACGGCTCGGAAGCCGACAGTATTGTTCGTCTGCCAGCTTCACACATCTTATCTTCGATTTCATTTATCTGTCATCCAAACCAGATCTTATGTCATTCCTATGAAATCAAGTCTCTGTTATAGCACAGAAAGTTCAAACCTTTTGCTGGGAAAAGCACAAGCAGTTTCTGTTGTCCGCCACACACGCGTGCCTGAGAAGTGCTCATGGGAACCAGGACTGAGGGATTTAAGAATCTTTATTGTAGGTCTGTGCGTGATCCCGAAAACCACTGTCAAGGCCAGATGTTATTTGATGGAGAGAGATGACACAGGCCCAGAATCAAAGGTCACAACGCACACACATATACACGCATGTTCCCTCCTGTTTTCTTTCCGTGTAGCGTGGGAATTGGCTGGGAGGCCTTTAACATCACACCAGGAAGGCAAGGAGGCAAGAGGTGAGGAGGAAAACAGTCAATGGGGGGACTTCTTAATGTGTGTATGTGTGTGTGTGTGTGAGGGAGGACAAACTTTAGTGCCAAACCATTTTAGGAAGTAAACTAAATAAACTAATACTTCTGAGGATTTGAAGCTCCTTTTTTCCAGATAAGGTTTAGATCAGAATAAGGATAAGTTAGGCGTTAGAAGTGGCATAAGGGGTCACTGGTTTGGGATGTCAACAGAAGTCCTCGCATAGATGGAAAAAAACATCCCTGTATGTGTGTCAGTGAGAGTTCACAGAGAAAAGCGTGTTTGTTTGCTTTACACCTAAAGCCCATTGTACATTTGATCTGAAAGCCGCAGAAAAACAACCCGCTTCCCCCTCATCGTCGCTGTGCCAAACAGATCTTTCCTTTCACTGTCACTGTGTGTGGCTCTGTGTGTGTGTGTCATCATGACTACATACACAAAAGAAACACAGGGCAGCAGGGTGGGGGAATAACAAGGCGGATAAAAGTTACTTACATCGACTCAGTACATTGTAAAGAAAGAAACGAGACGCCAAAGTTCAAATTGTTCTCCTTCACACACTGTGGAGTCCACTGGGACTTTCTACTTCTATGTCAGGAAGCAATCTGAATACTGACAGACTGCATACACCAGCAAGAAAAAGAAAAAAAAAGAAAACCTATCAACTACACATTTAATGGTAATTACGTGGGCGACAATTAGAAAAAAAAGGGAACTCATCTCAAAGACTATTGGAGGATTAAGAGGGTTCCATCTTTATTTAATAGATTTAGGTAGAGTACTAAATAAAAACAGAGATTAGATCTACACTTCATTACCAACAGATTCGAGATTTATTTTCTTACATCTGTGTATCCCTGAATAAAGGAGCACAAAGAGCAGTACTTTCTAGGAATTTGACAGATAAGCAATTTTGTGTTTTAAATAAGATTTGGGACTAAATTAATTTGGAGCAGCTCTTCAAATATCAACGTTTGACATTTGGACACCCTCCTAAAAGATCCTCTCTAAAATCTAATTACTCCATTATTTTATACAACTGTGCTGGACTTTCAGACCTCCACGCAGAGCCAGCTGCTCCCTTCCATTCACCTGACCGGCCACTGTGGCTCTCAGCCCGAACAGAGCACACGCTCTGTGTCCACCATCCACGTCTGATTACAGACCATGTCCCTCTAAATATAGAAAAAAGGGGAGGAGAAGGCTGCAGCCAGTAAAAAGAGCTGCTGTATTTATTATTTTTCTGTCACCTCTGTCCGAGAGTCGGGGGAAGGACCTTAGGTTTTAGAAACAGGAGAACTCTGTTTTGACGGTGTGATTTAAAATGCATAGGCCCGGGCCTATCTGACACCATCTGCTTGAGACTTTTTCAAAAACATGTGTCCATACTGCGTCATGCTGAAACATTTGAAATAAAATCAGGGCATAAATATTGTATTACCGCACAGGATCTTCTCAGCTCGACTCATCAACTATATTACAACACTATAAGCAGACTCTAATTTATTTATTTTTGAGCTATGATCATTTCTAAATGTAACAAATTTAATAGCTATTCTGTTTTACAAGCAGTTCTATTTAAATTTTGAGTGCCAACTTTTATTGCAATTTGAAAGAAATTAAGCTGAACATGCATGAACATTTTTTTTCTGTTAGACATATTTCACCTCAACAACAATTTACGTAATACACAGTGGTAAGAAAAAACAAAAAAACCAAAAACATCTCGCTTAGGCGCTTTTTTGGTTGGTCTTTTTGTCTGTGTGGTCCCTTTAGACATGATTGTGACAGCCTGGTGCAGAACTGGCTGTATCTTTTGAGTTCCGACTGCCACAAAGGCTGAGGCGCTGCTCGGGTCGGGCACTGATCAGATCTGCAGCGATTAGCTCTGTCCGTCCAGCTGGGCAGAAATCCATACACAGACTGATCAGCGTTAACATTATTAGAAACTGGTAAGAAGTGAACACTGGTCCTAAACCACCCAGGGCCACAAAGCACCGACTAACACACACTCACGCAAGCAGAGGGGAGCGTGTGATTACAGCCACAGCAGTAAAGGTCTAGATTTGGCTCCGGCATCGACCTGAAAATCAACAACTTACATCACACTGGTTCGCCGCTGAACAGGCTGGTTCAGGGCACCAATACACAATCACGTACACGCGGACACACAAAAACAGTGTCTCTACCCAGCAACAGGCCGTGCTGAGAGTGCTCATCTAATCATGTTCAAACAACACTAATTGAACCTTTTCGGTATACAGTCATTGAGTCTGGAGGTGAGGCAGGAGTATGCTACTTCCTCCCCTAATTAGCCGAGCAGCAGCCAATCACATCGCCGATCAGCGGGACACGACATGGTGGAGACAACAGGAGAGATCTTACGTATTTTGAAGGTGCCAAGAAGTGATATTCACCGTTACCTTGAAAACGTTTTACAGAAATAAGTAGAGGGAGATTCTTTAAAAAAAAAGATTCTGCTTTAAATACTGCTTCTAGTTTGAAAGGGTCACACGGGTCACGCTCTAAGAACTTAAACTGTCTCAGATCAGATACTAATCGCTTTAAAAGAGCTCCAAATGCACTGCTGCACGATAAATATTGGATCCTTCTCCATGCTGTTACAAAAGTCAGTGCATCTGCTGTATGTCACATTCAATGAACCCAAACAAGCAGCAGAGTAGTTTTTTTTAACTTCCAAAACATTTTCTTGCATCATCTCTCTTTGTATAAAACCATTAAATAAGAATAAGAACAAGGAAAGATATATCAGGTTTTCAGTGATATTCAGAATCCCAAGTGGACGCTGTCATATTACAAGAACGACTAGCATGAAGCCTTTTCATCTTCCGTTGTTTTTGCAATCACCAAATAAAAATGCCGTAATTGCTAAACGACCCCATCTGAATCCTTTCCTACCTGGTGTGCGATGGCAGAATCCTCTAGTGTACGCAGGCGATGAATTTCACCTGAGACAAACTGCGTACCGCCCGGCCTCATGTGGACACCTTATTTCCTCACTCATTAAAAGCCCATAAATCAAGCTACTGTTTATTCCGGCAAGAAAATAACCGAACAAGCGTCTAGGAACAAGAGTTCATTTGTCCCAGAGTTGGTCATCATTCCTGGAGTTGCAGAGATATCAGGACAACACTCAATCAACTATTCTAGCAGAGATATTCAACACAGTCAGCGCGTGTCTGCTGACGTCAGTTGCAGTTCGATGCTATTATACCGATTGACCGGCTACGGACTTGAAATTATTCCCTGCCCGGTGCTCTGCATGCTGCAGTTTTTTTTCTCCCATCAAACGGCCGACTAGAACACAAAGAATCCGAGAAGCGCAATAAAAAAGGCTCCAGCTGGTCGAGTTTGTGGATGCAGTGGGATTTCTGTTGAAATGTGTTTTGCTGTAGGAACAGAGAGGAGTGACTCCGGGGAATCGAAGCAGAGGCGTGTGGCAGTTCACTGGGTTGAGACCTCAACTGTGGATTGAAAGTAATTCGGGAACGAGTCCAGGAAACGGCCCCAGTCGAATCGATATTTCCTGTCAGTCCACCCTTTGAGTCAAAGTGACAGAGCGCAGAGGAGTAATGTCCTCAAATAATAAAGCATGGAAAAAATCTTCAGACCCGCATTGCTCTGGGACAAGATTAAATCAGACAGTAAACCGAGGGGATGTATCACATCAGCAGGAAACATACGCAGCGGAACAACATCTGGACGAGAGACTGTGTCAACAAAGAAAAAAGAACAAGATCAGAAAATGACAGTAACTGCACCAACTGGGAAGGGGTCAAAGGTCAGTGACCTAAGGGGTCAAGCGGGGAGCCGGAAACCCAGATGAAGAGGGGCCACAGTCTATGTACAGCCACCTGTGTTCTGTTCATATTCATCTACATACAAATCATGACAATCTTTAAGTGGACCTTGATGAATGTTGAAAGCATAAATGGTTTGCACTGTTAGCACCCAACTAATTATATTATGTCATTACCATTAGCTTTTAATAGCCGACTGTAATTTGAACATTGTATTTTCAGCTGTTTATGTAATACATGGCTGCTGAGGGGAATCTCTTGAATCGAAAGATGAAATTCTATATATTATATAAATACTTTTAACAGAACTTGTTATAAGGAATTCAGTGCGGAGGGCAAGACCCACGTGGGCCTGAGATGGGGCATACCTGCCTGTGACAAGTGTGAATCTAGCAGATGGGGCTGGAATGGTGGGAGTAATCCACCAACGATTTCAGAACAGGTGAGGCGAGCTGTAAAGGCTGCAGAGAGCGCTGACACCGTCAGCTGATACTCGCAGCTGACTCATCAACCCAATGAGCACGACTTTGGCGTCATGTCAGGACTAAAGCGACTCCCTTTTCGCATTATGTGGCAATGCCCTGGCAGCTCTGACTTTTGACCTGGTGGAGAGTGAGCCGTCCGTCACGTCGCACTGTGTTGACAAGACCTGAGGCCCACGTGGTCGGACAACCTGCGGTGACACCAAAGGTCAGTTTTCCTTTCTGAGTTGCTGTTAGGGAAGAGCTTTATGCATGACGTGCAAAAAAAAAAATGCTTAAGAACACAAAAGGCCTCTCACTACCTGCACCTAGAACACAGAAAAATATTATAAGACATATTTGTAACATTTTTATGAAGCTTCTGGGAGGTTTTTGTTTGAAATCAGCTCTATTTTTGGGTTCCAGTGACACAAAGCTGCAACTGATTTCACTCGGGCCAACTTGGACACAACCAACATTTGATCAAAACTGCTTCCTAAGCTTCTATCTAACGATGGATAAAGATTCCAGTCAGGAAAAAAAAGACCAAAAAAAAGCTGCCATAAACAAACAGCTTCTACGTTTAAAAATTATATTACAAAAACCTGAAAGCTAGTGGACAAAGATAACGGTTTACAAGTAGGGAATCGGGTGTGAACTAATAATAAATACAGGAGCTCCTCTCTGAAATACAATCTGTGTTGCTCTGATGACGCAAATCATTTCACAACCAGGGAAGAGCAAAGGGCTGCACATACCCATTTCCCCATGTCACTGTCAATGACATGCTAAGACCAACACCTATGACCTGTACCGAAACCTGCAGGCCACCACCTGCATGAAACATCACAGCAGAGCTCTAACGCATCCCATTAATCCACACATACGCTCCCAAACACAGGGGAGAATCTGATGATCGAGTTAGAAATGTCAGTTTGCTGGGTAGTAAATGGTTTTAAAATAGAAAATCAAGATATATAAATACCTAAATACATGTCTTGCATATAAAAAAATGTATTTCAAACTTATATGACATCTAAATCTGATTTGTTGATGTTAACATAATCATGCTAATAATTGAAAGATTTTCACTTTGGGAGCAGAGTGTAGCTGATCAGTGATTTATTTTGGGCTGTAAAAAAAAAGACAGGTCTGCTAATAATAAGAACAGTATAAATGACCAAGGCTTCCTCGCACTGTCCAAAAACCTGCATGTTAGGTTGATTGGACATTCTAAATGGCCCTTAGGAGTGAGTGTGAGTCTGTGTGGTTGTTTGTCCTTGTGTGTCACCGTGTGTCTCTGTGTGTCTCTGCGATGGACTGGAGGACCGTCCAGGGTGTCCCCCGCCTCTGGCCCATTGACTACTGGGTTAGGCTCCAGTCCCCCCCGACCCCATTAGGGAATAAGCGGTTACGAAAGCGGATGGATGGACAGATATAAATGACCAGTAGAATTGGCTAATAGGATGGAATCACAGATCCAACATTAAAATAGACAGCAGAAAGGCAGTCTGATTATGGGGAATTTAATCAATGATAAACTACTTCAAATATATATTTCTTTCATCAATCCAAATATAGGGCATGAAAAATGTCCACAGGAGAGCAGCAACATTAGTTCAATTGTTTCATATTTGACTTACATACATTACATTTCAAATACAGAAATGGTTGAAACTGTTAATTTATCTATCTGTATTACAGTAACTTTTTATCGTTTTTTTTAATTATCACAAATCAGTGCATGTCCTCTTTTTGAAAAAAGCATTCCTCTTCTGTGAGAGAAAAGCTTTTTTTAAACAAGAGAAGTGTTGCACTGGACATCTGCAGAGAAAAAGACCCTCAATGGTCTAATAACTGAACAGACAGGAAGTCTTTCTCGACAGTGTGGCCATGCTATGAACAGATGTTAGCAGAGAACCAGGATGGTAGAAGAGGATAAGGTCTTAGAACTAGAAAAATATTGCAAAATGGGTAATTAGGAAGAAAAGAAAAAGAAGCCAGCCGAGCATGGTGCTATGCGTGCCGTTTAATGTGAAATAAGTCCAGAGGAAGAATTAATGGGAGGAAGATGAATGGCAGGTCACTAATGCCACCATTCCACAAAAAAGAAACCTCCACCATTACAACCCCACAATGAAGGTATAAAACCTCCAGCAATGACGTTGGTGACAGTTTGAACTACTATACTGTTCAGTGCCTTCTACATCTTTCTTCCAGGTTTTAACTGCATCATTACACACATGTGGTTGATCCATCAAACCTATAAATATGTCCAACACGGCATTCATTAGCAATCTGCCTCTGAAGATTTTTTTTTTTATTGGTTGGTTGACATTATAAAGTGACTTTGATCCCCCTCTCTGTTGACATCGTCATTTTTCGGGAAGGTCAGCTGCTGAATTACTATTTCCTTCTGTGACTCTCCAGGGCACTTTCAGGTACACTCATCTGCTTAGAATATGTTTCTCGCTACTCCACGATGAGTAAACTACACTATTTCCAGTCTGCTGCCATGTGCTTAATAACATCTGTTATGACCAAAGACTTTTAGTATTTAAGATTTTCATGCCTCGATTTCCGTGTCTCTGTCGGCCGTCGGACTGTTTCCAGTTGAAAATTATGAGGCAGTTGCTTTGCTTTCATCTCCAGTGGAAAGTAGAGACTCCATTCATCTTATGAAACAATTCATTTGGGATTATAGGGTAGATATGGTAGTAACTGTGCAAAAAAATACATTCTTGTATGACAGGGGGTCAATGTATATTTAGAATTATGACATAATTTAGGTAATTGAACACTATAAATTACACACCAGTTCACAAGACACTGATGTACCACATCAGCTTGTTCGACTCACTATAAAAGTAAAGAAGCAGCGTTTACCTTATTTGTGGTTATTTTGCTAGTCTGAGACCAGGCTGACTGCATTTTGATTTGTTTTTTTCAACCAGATCCATAATTAAAGGTATCAGAGTCTACAGCAGCAGGTGCCGAGCTGAACGAATGCTCTGCTGTGTATTCCTCAGACCCACATCGATTTAATCCTGGGTGTCTAAACAACCGTTATTTAGACATCCTGAATTAGTTCACCTGCTGTTTTATACTCCGATAATTTAATCTAACTCTAGAAGGAAGATAACTTTTTTAATATACACACTCACTGAGGACAAAACAATTCTGTGGGGTGCAGCGACAGATTAAACACACTCAAAAGATCTTCAAAGGGTTTCCTTTACACATTATGCAGATTTTTAGGATAATCGTTTCAGGTAAAATAATGCCACTTTAAACAGCACAGATAGCAACATGAGTGAAAGCAATAGTTTTAAATGCTATGGAAAGCAAGGTCAACGTTTGCACTAACTAACTACTACAAAAAGCCAAAAATAGTTTTGATGGAAAAATGTCAAAAAAGTGGGAATGTATATCCAGTCACACCTGAAGTAAAGTCGCTAATATGAAAGTTTTCAATGACATTAAAATATGAATTGCAGACATTTTGGAATAAAAAACTGAAGAGTTTATGATGGGGAAAAACTAGCTAGATTAGGATCAGCGATATTAAAATGAGCAGACACACTAAAATTGAACAAAAAATTAGATGCTTTTTGGAGACACTCAATAGACGCTTCTGAGTCATACTCAGAATGAACTCCAATACCAAAACCACTGTGAAGTTAAATTGAGGTGTTCAGCAGCAATTTTTTAATCACTG